ATTTCTCTAGTGGGCCCATGGAGAGGGACACTGGCTGCTCAGTTATGTGTCCATGAGCTGCCTGGTGAAAGGTGGTGTGGTCCCAAGGATGCTACTACATGATGCCATGTGCTCCCCAGGCTCCACTGGGTCAGAAAATACTGAGGAATGGTCATTTTAGGAAAGACAGCATGGTTTTCTTCTGGCCTATGGCCAAGCAATACCAAGGCTTGAGCATTCTGTGCTTCCACCCAGTAGCTCAAGGAGAAGGCAGCCCATCACCAGTGAGATGCTTCATTTTAGGTGGTGCCTTCTCCATCCAGCTCCTCTTTCTTTGCTGGAGGCTGCAGCACCTTCTCTCCATCTTGTGCTTCTGACGGTGCTGGGCACACCACAGCTCTGACCACTCGTGTCAAGGCTCCAGAACTGATAATAACAACTTAGTTCCTGATCCAGGTATGCTTGTAAGTGCACGCCTGATTTGGAGCACCCTGTTAAAGTGAAGTGTGTGCTCCAGGACCTTGCTAAATGGGACGCTCAAAGCAGGATTTGAAAAAGCCAAGAAGACATTAGAGTATTCACAGCAAGCTCTTGGCTTGGGAGCGTTGTGATTAATGTCATTTGCTACCTCTTTTGGCTTAAAAGGCAAGGAGTGGTTAAAATAAAAGAAACCTCAAGTTGAAAGCATTGCAAAAAAATCAATTAAACCCCATGTAGCTGCATTTTGACCCGGAGCAAAATCTCAGACATAACAGAGAAATTACATAGCCTTAAAGAGAAGGAAAGAAAGAGAAGGTTTCACGTGTGGTATGGCTGAGGTACTGCCCAAAGGCAAGTTGAGGTGGTTTCTCCCCAATACCTGCAGAAGCTGTAAATCTTCACTGCAGGAGTGGGGGGAGTGAGTAGGTGCCCCCAGCCCTAGTCATCACTCCCAGGGCCTGTCCCATGGATCAGTGATCAGGGCTTTTTGGAGGAGCAAGCACTTGGTTGGTTGGGTAACTCCTCTGCTGCTTCAGCCTGCAGGATGAAGATGTCTGTGCCCATGCTGCTCTCTGGTAGACCCTACCAAAGGTATGGTAGGTAGGGCTGCTCAGCCTGGAGGACATGGTGTGGCACCTGATGTGGGGCTAATGAGGCTGGGGCTCCTCTATCCCAATGCCCTCCCTGAGGCTCCAGCCATTCCCATGCCCCCAGGGCTCTGACCCACAAAGGCCTTGCAGCAGTCTGCTCCTGAATGGAGTCTCAAATGGCCCCCACAGAGGGTGGCCAGAGAGTTACCAAGGAGTGTGTTAAGCAGAGCTCTTTCATTCGGCCACCATCTTTGGAGGCACAGCCTTTCCACAAGCTCCGGATCCGTCCCCTGAAGTTAAACCTCAGTCTGAATGAAACACACGGTGAAACTCCCCAAGGGTTCCTCCCTGGCCTGTGTTTTGCTGGGGAGGAAAGCAGCCACCTTAGGAAGGAGCGATGCCATTTGAAAGGCCTCTTCACGCTGAGAAACAGCCCTTGGTGCTCAGCCCCAGCAAGAGGGGTCAGTGGCACAAGCCCTGGAGCCCAGAGCAGCAGAGACGGCGAGGATGTGCTAGGGAGGAAGGCACCCGGTGCATTTCCACTGCATTTAATAAACGAGCAGATGGAACAGGAGTGTGTTAGGAGGAGTGCTGATAGATACCCCAGGACAGGCCATGTGCAGGCCTTGCTGTGCTCGGAGAATTTTCAGCGCAGTTTTGTGGGTTTTCTTCTGTTTCTTTTGCTTCCTTTCCCACCCCCCCCACATCGTCCTCTCTTTTGTTTCATTTCCACTTCGGGAAGAGGGGGAGAGGCAAAGAAAAAAAAAAAAAAAGGGGGGGGGGGGGAGAGAAAAGGCTGAAGGCCTTTTCAAATTTTTTTTTGTCTTTTTCAGAGAAGAAAAGATTGTCATTAAGAAAAAAAAAACAACACAAAACCCGACAACTTTCTCCGCTTGTTGCTGCCCCCAGCACAGCTCAGCCTCTTCCCCGGCGCCCTGGGAAGCCCTCCTCCCCTCGGTGGGCTGCCTCGGGGTGGAGAGGGAGGGGAAACCCTCAGAGCAACCCTTCCGTGGGCGGTGGGTCCCACAGCCGCGGGTGGGGAGCAGCTCCGGCCGCCCCCGGGCATCCCGCTGCGGGCGGGCGGTGGGTCCGGCCCCACCGGGGTCCCTGCCGGTGGGGAGGCAGCAAGGCAGGGCTCCCCTCCTCTGTTTTGTTGGGTTGTTCTTCTTCTTCTTTAATTTTCAGACGTTAAATTCTTTTGCAAACATTCATGCCTTAGGAAGGGCTGGAACAAAGCTCAGCTGCTCCAACCGGTCGGACAGGTAAGCAGACTTGTTGACACCGTTATGTTTGCAGCACGCATGCTCCTTCCCAAGTTTCCTGGTGCATTTTTTTATTTCACCTTATGAAACTTGCCTTCCCCCCCCCCACCCCCACC